GTTAGCTTTAAATCAAAGAGCCTCGCTTTTATATATTAAAGAATATATTACAAAACAACTTTAATGCTGTAGAAACTTTACGGTTACAAGGTTAGTACCATGCTAAGTCATAGTCATTTTAATTGCTAAGAGCTGTCCAATCAACGCAATCTCTCTCAGACAGAAGATGAGATCACAGTAATCTACTCCACTCCTGCAGGAAAAGTGACCTAATTGGTCTTTAACCAAAAAACAACTTTAATGCTGTAGAAACTTTACGGTTACAAGGTTAGTACCATGCTAAGTCATAGTCATTTTAATTGCTAAGAGATGTCCAATCAACGCAATCTCTCTCAGACAGAAGATGAGATCACAGTAATCTACTCCACTCCTGCAGGAAAAGTGACCTAATTGGTCTTGAACCTTAATGGTCAAATATGAGAACCGAAAATTTATTGTTTTAGAAGAAGAAGAAGAATTCTTCAGAATGCATTAACATTTAGTAATTTTTTATCATTAATTATTAATAATACTTTTTAATTCATACTAAAGGTACCATACCTGTCTTGTACTTTGTTTATGCTTACAATTATCATAAAGATTTTTAATAGATATATTAACGTTTTTCTTCTTTTTCTATAGTCACCATAAGTACACAATGTACTATCGTTCTAAAGTAGAACAAATTAGATAGTTCAATGAGGCATAGACCTATTCTTTTCAGTTTTCTGCGCTTGACTAAACTCTATCCAAAACTGTTTAATTTTTAATCTTGTTTATTTTGTATCCAAAATTTATTTACAAAATCCCATAACTTCAGTAGACCAAGTAAATAGCATACAAAAATTTAAAAATAAAAACAATTCAAAACCTGATATCAATATCACATCCATATCAATATGAGTTACGTCATTTAAGTTAATATACATAATTAATCGAAGCTTAATTAAATATCTGGATGGGTTCACTTAAGCGGTTTAAAAGAATAACAAACACGAATAAAAAATGATCCGGCTGGCACGTCATGACGTATTAAGTGTAATTAATGATTGGGTGTATCATTAGATATTTATTGTAAATCACATATTTAATTATAAAATCTTTTGCTTAAAATTCATAAACCACAATAACTAACACACATCAGTTGTAGTGCAATAAGAGTTCGGAATGATAATTGATAGGATAAATATAAAAATCAAAACCTACCACTTAATCTATTTTGCTTTGTAGATCAAATATATTGATCAGGTTTTCGAACTAAACAAGTTCACTACATTACATAGGTATAGTATATTGGTATAGTTCACTGTGACTAAAATAGTTTGTTGGAAGTAGGAAGGAAGTATTCATTCTCAATAAAAGAATAACACATAATGGTTTTGCAGAAAATAAATTTTGTAGTCCACCTTTAATATAATACATTTAATTAAAGCGAAATGGATTGCATACTGAAACTTATACTAGACCTGAAATAACATTCAGGAAATATATCAGCATTTAAGCTATTATTTGGACACATCTATATGCTGTTTGATAGGATATTAAAACCAATAAAATGTTCAATAATTACTCTGATAATATAGCAATATTGATATAGACAAAATAATCATGCCATTAAATTGTAATGATATAATTCAATAAGTAAAGAATTTATTATAGAAATATTATCTTTTTTTTATTAAAACAGTGAACAAAAGTGAAATTTGTCAGTAAATACGAAAATTAAAAATACTATTCAATCCATTTTGCTGCCTGAGCATTACTTACAGTTCCCATATTAAAAATCACAAAGTACTCCCAGATTATTTAATATACTTCAAAGAACACCTCAGGCATATAAGTGAAAATCTAGAAATACTTGTGACACTTATAAGAAATTATACCCAACATCGGAGCTCCCAAGCAAAACATACATAACTTCTCGTCCGTTTGAATACATATATTACCTGCACTGGTATGAATGAAGGTAGAAAGACTTATATGGACTGTTTGGAAGCATGTTGCTTATGTAAGCCAATGGAAAAGATATAGTATGTCTCTGTAAAAGGTAGATGGATCTATAAAAAGTAGATAGATCCATAAAATAATGAACGTGATCTTAAACAGTTTTTTTACAGATAACTGTTGCTTCTGTGAAGACCTGCACAATTATAAATGCATGTACTAATTCCATAACAGTATAGGAAAAACACAATATATAAAAAGCACATATTGGAATTTAGTATTATATTCTACTTATGTTGTGCACAGTCTATCCTAGGTTCTTACACCGAGATTAATTGCATAAAAACTCTTAGCGCAGTGACATCTGTGGGTAAATGGTGCATTCTTTATCTACTTACTGTCGAACGAATTATTTTGACAATTCGATATTTTGACTTGGTATTTTATGCAATCTTCGATCAGTTTGCAACCTTGAGTAAATATTAATATCTATTTTCAATCAAATAAAAATGGCGTAGGATCATACGTATTATAAAAAAATTTTTATGGGAACAATCTTACAGACGATAATTTATCATAACCGTTTAAAATCAATAAATCAAAAAACCTCTTGAAATCAAACGCTGTGTGTCTGCGAGGCTTATCAAAAATTAAACTGGGGTACCAAAAATATAGTCTCATGAGTTATAAGATCTGAACAATTGGAAGGTCTCTGATAGACTGTAAGAGGCAACCTAAGTAGTTCAGCACTGCAATGAGATGTGAAGGCTCAACACTATACAGGTAAACACAATAATTACCTGTATATTTTAAGATTGTAAATGATTGGTTCCAGGGTTAGGCGATTGAAATGTTACCTATTCAAGCGACCATATATTTTTTGTGTGAAATTATTTTTTATTTATTGAAATTACAAACATTTGTGGAAATAATCAAAATTTCAGAATCCATTCACTCTAGCTCGATGTAGACACCTTTTGCCTTGACCATGGCCTTCAAACGGTTAAAAAATGAATTGCATGCTTCACGAATCTTCACGTGATCTTCTGGTAGTTTAGCCCAATCTTGAAAAATTACTTTCTTCAGCTTATCCATCCTGACATATTTTTTAGTCCTCACCTTGCTCTCCAAAATTGCTCAAATGGAATAGACTATCAGATTTGCATCTGGTGAAGTCGAAAACCATTGTGTAAACGATATGAAGTTTGTAACATGATTTCTTAACCATTATTGGTTAAAGCGAGCTTTATAAGACGGCGCCGAGTTGGTATATTGTTGGAATGTTTATAGTCTACGAACGAAATGTTTGCGTGTCCAGGACTCTGAAACAACTTCCAAAACATTTTCCCGATGAGAAATCGACATTGACTTTTAAACCAAGCTCGATAAAAACGATTGAAGAGCGTCCATCTGCGGTCAAAGCTGCCCATACTATTACTTGAGGTGGAAAATTACTTCGGGTGATAATTCGTAGAGTCAAAGTTTTGGCAGCGCGTTCAGTTAAGTAAACATGGTCATCTTGAGCAGTTAGAGTTTAAGAACTGCTCAGTGGGGAAATTTTATTCAACAAACAACATAATGTTTGAAAATTTGCCACATTTGGGAAAGCGTAACAACTTCTTTGCTCTTTCGAATATAACTTTTTGTTGCTTTGATATATGGTAAGATCTTGTGCCTTTTGAAACTTGTAAGGCACAAACTTGTTACCTTGAACTCATTTTGGAATATGCATTGGATGATTCGCTGAAATATTTTCAGTCCTTTCGTCATTTGATTACCACTATGACGTGGAATTCGTTTAACTCGAACCCTCACTTTCCGATCTATTTCAGGTGTTTTTTTTACCATCTATCGTTTGGCGACACTGTCTGTGCTATTATAACGATTTATAGTGCCATATACAAACATTTTTTTAACTTTGAGGTGCAATACCTCGTTGTGGTTTTCCCACCAAATCTAATGCAAAAGTCTATATTATGAGAGGTGGTAACTTGTAAACAATATAAAGTCTTTCGAGCTGTCTTTCGAATTTCTCATAATTGGCATTACCAGTTTGACATATATACCTGTATGCAGTTGGTAACACTTCAATCGCCTGACCCCGTACACCTGGTACGCAACACAACTGGTATAATTTAACTTCGATTTCAATGAAACCCAGTATATGTGGTATACACTTTACTACTGAGACTGGGTTAAAATATTTAAATAATAGATCATTGATTAGACTCTCTTTCAGGGCTCGCTGTTTAAACTATACTTCTTATGCATATTGTTTTTTTTTTTTGTGTATTAAAACTAATTTTATATTCTAGAGTGCACAGGGCAGTGTATACTCGTTCGAGTATAGTTTGATCCTAAGTTGTGATCCTTTGTTGTGAGTATTTTTTGTTCAAGAATGAAATCAATAAATGATTACGTGACTGCCGTATTTTGTATTTACAAATCAAATTTATTTGTACGAGACACAAAAATACAAACTCTAGTTGAGGTTGTGTATCTTTTTAATTTCTACTAAACTCTGTTGTTTGCTCTTCAACTTGTTACCGTAATTATTTTGCTTCAAGCTTCTTCCAAATTAGCATAAAAATAATTTATTATATATTATTTTTTAAGTTTTTTGCTGGTGGTTTACTAATTTAATATTTATGTTTTGCTTAAAATAATTATTTATCTGCGAGATACATTTTTTATTATTATTCTGACTGCTTCTGCCGTCCACAATACTTTGTTACTGGAGTGCTATCAAAACTAAATCTGGTTCTCAGCTGTGGAAGAGTTTTTGTGGTTGGAACGAGATTTTGTTTGTATCTTTGAGGAGGATGAGCTCAACTGTTGGTGGTGAAGTTTTTTTTATTCGCAACTTTAGTTTATTTGAAAAATAATTTAAATAATAAAATAAAAGTAGCGTAACGTTGTTTTGCTACTTTTTACTAATGAGTAAGTATTTTTGTATGGGGATTTTTTGTGACAGGGGAAATTGAGTGTTTGTTTGATTTTGGCTTGTAAGAATAGGTTTCGCTAATTTTCAGATTGAATATAAAAGCATTTGATTTTGTATGAGGGAAATCAGTTGTTAAGATACAAACGACATGAAAATATTTATTGTGCTTAGCGTTTTCGTAGCGGCAGCGTATGCTGGCTATGGTGGCGGCGGTGGTGGTGGTTCAGCCAGTGCAAGTGCCAGTTCTAGTGCTTCAGCTTCTGGTGGCGGTGGATTTGGTGGAAGGCCTGGCTTTGGAGGTGGCGGTTTTGGTGGCGGCGGTCATGGAGGTGGCATTCCTCTCGGTGGTGGCGGCTATGCTGGCGGCCTTGGAGGTCATGGAGGTGGCCTTGGAGGTCATGGAGGCGGCCTTGGAGGCGGCCTTGGAGGTGGCTTTGGAGGCGGCCCCGGCTTTGGAGGCGGCGGTCACATAGGAGGAGGTGGCATTGGAGGCGGTCACGGAGGTGGCTTTGGCGGTGGTCACTTAGGAGGAGGTGGCATTGGCGGTGGTCACTTAGGAGGAGGTGGTTTCGGCGGCGGCGGCTTTGGTGGCCCAGGAGGCCTTGGAGGTCATGGCGGTGGACTCCATGGTGGTGGTGGTCACGGCGGTGGTGCTGCTTCAGCAAATGCTGCTGCTAATGCTGCTGTAGGAAGCTACGGACGCTAAGACATTTCGGTTAGGCTGTGATAAATGTTAATAAAGTTTTCTGTTATAAATAATATATTCAAGTTTTTTAAATATTTTTGTGGTCTCGGTAATATGCGATAAGGTGAAGTTCCATTGAAGTGAACGATGGAATATGTTGTAAGTCATTTCAATGATAATCATAGAGATTTACAATATAAAGATATGTAATTTATTTTAGTTTGCAAACATACAACATTGGTTGAGTTGGCTTAAAAATATTTAATTATTTTGTTTCTCAAACAAAATAATTTTGTTATGTTTGTATTAATTTGTTTAAAACAAACTTTTAAATCCTTCGAAGTGTTACTTTTATTTTAATTTGATATTGCTTACTTTCCAATCATTTTAACTAACTATATGGTATAGAAATCATAGGTTTTTAGGTAGGTAAAATGAATGCAATTTATTGGGTTTGTTCAACCAATTTAACCGCAAATTTAAATCGCCAAAGATTGTTCTTCTTCTTTCACCTATTCATCTTCTTTAATCCCCTCTGTGGGTAAGAGGTTAGTGTAATGATAGTGAAGGTATGTATCTAGTACCCGCAGCTTCGGCTGTCCTGACCAATTGAGGTTGGCAGTATCGTGGTAGCTGTGGCTAAAACCCGAATTTACGCGTAAAGAATGATTGAATTCTTTCCTTTCATTCAGGGTAGAGTTTCACACTGAATGCTATGACTCAAACATCAGCAGAGGTTGGATGGACCGCGCTATTTACCAAGGAGAAAGTTATGCCAAACACATAACTTCAATTGGTACCGGCAGAATTCGTTAGAAGCATGTATCAGCACATTACGTTTGTTTAGAATACCGAGGTGTCGAGCTAACGAGGCAGGTAAGCAAGTAAAAACTCAGAACATTTTCACTCTCTCTATCTCTCTCCTTCTTTAATAGTGTTGCAATTGGAACCCAGTGCTGACCTTCTTATTTTCACTCTTGTATACAAGCGTATTTACTACTACATAACTCTAGTTTATGATGTTAAGAGATGTAATGGCTTTTTGATCAGAAAACCCTGGCTTTCCAACAGATGTGGTTTTCATTTTAGGATATTGATTTGAAATTTAAATGAAATTTTCTTCATAATCACTTGCTGTCTATAACAGATTTTTGGGTTTCATGAAAATTAAAATTTTTGATTCGGTATAGAGCTCGTAAACGTCAGAGAGTCATAAACAGTTTCGTATTTCCTTTTTAAATTTAAATTGATTTAATTTTCTATTATACTGCTTAAGACTGGTCAGCTATGTTCAGATATTGCTCAACTAATAGCGTTTTAGAAGCGTGTATATGGCTTGAAGTGCCATATACTTTACTGAACTTATATATTTTTGTCACGAATAAGTCGTGTTTACATATCAAAATAAAAATTATTTAATCTTCAAAATATACAGAATTTTTAATCAATGTTACTTATCCTCTATCTTGTCTTGAAAACTCCATGTCAAAATTTTTAATAGCATTTTGAAGAATAAAACTTTTCTTTAATATTACTAGCTATTTACTTTGAATTCGATTAAGTTTTTCACTTTAACTTGGTCATTAAAGGAGCATAACATATGGCTTAACTGCACATGTTCCATTAAATCCTGATTAATATGTTTTGTGCATGCTCACAGAAATATGATTTAATACTCTTCCTTCTGTTTGAAGTTGACCTGGTTAGTCATGACTTTTTGTTTGTCACAAATCGAGTGTCAACTTCAACTTTTAATCTAATCGTTGCGATGCAAGTGTGACTGTGTGATAGCCATATCACACAGAAATAGAGAATACACACTCATTACTTATACGAATCCAGTTGAGTAGGTGTAACATTAGATGGCAGTAATCCATTTGTCCGAAATACACGAGGAAAGGATTAAAGCCAGAAAGGCGAAATGCTTGGCTGTAATCAATTTCAAAACTTAAGCTTCTGGAAATGTATGATATTAAAAATAAAATGTATATTATATTAAATTGGAAAAATGAATGAAAAAACTTAAGTGAATTTTTTCTAAAAATTTGTTTCAAAAATGAGAAATTTCAGTAAATAAAATGACAAAACTTTGGTTGGCAAAAAAAATAAAAATACTCAGGATAAAGATTTTTTAGCACCAAAATTTTGTTCTTCTCTCACTGCAATATTTAACAATCAATTATAGTATTAATTATATAAACTATTTAACAAGAAATAATACGAGGTTCGACCATTCTCCATAACACCTTACCTTATATACATTTTACTTAAAAGGTAAGCCAAAATAGTACTATGAAAAAATCATCCCTAAAATAGTAGTACAATATTTATTTTGTAAGTTTGCATCTTCTTGCACGGTGAATTAACAACAGTTGTTTTCACAATTATACTTCTGAGTGCTCTGTGTTGCTAGAAACGATCATGGCAAACGATTGCGACTAACCAAACATCTTACTTAACATAGAATCTTTGAATACTATGATTAGGGCCTTAAAAACAAAAACACAAAATGAGTTACAGTTTATACCTCAATCAATCTATGAAATATATGGAGTTTCAAGTCCAGCAGTAGTATTATTATATAGCACTCAATGTGTGTCTACTTTAAAAGACAAAAAATTAATTATTAATTGTAAATAATTTTAATAAATAAAAAAGTCTACTATTTGCAAATGCAATTTAAATTTGATTGTACTTGCATTTCGATTGTCAGAAACGTGTCCACTACCAAGAATCGAATTTTATTGGTCTAAGGTCTTAAAACAAAAGATATAATTAAAATATGGACCTCATTTTGCTGATTTGCTTGAAAGATTATTTATTTATTATAATTAATTACAAAATATAAAATCTTATAACTAAGGTAGGAAAAACTAAGGTTTGCTGTTAGGGTCTTCAGTTCGGATATTATAAATTAAATTTTAGTGCCAAGATTACAGGCTTTAATATATTTATATATATATAGTATATTTTTAACAGCAATTGTTTTTAATGGATTGGTACGTAAGATGTTTGGAAAGATACTAATACGAATAGCATCAAAAGAAGGGCAATCTTTAAGTATATGATCTATGAATGGTGTGCTAATGCAAAATGGACAGTTTGATGACTGATCGCCACTCAAAAGGTGTATATGAAAAAGCTTTGTATGTTCCATACGCAATCGGATAAAAAGCTGACATTGTTAACGAGTACATGATTGTGGGTATATTGCTATTAATTCACTGGTATGGATCGACTTGTAGCTATGGTTTTACACTGAGCATTCGTGTTCCATATGTTTGTTTATTAAGTTCAAATTTTCTTTTTTTTCGAATTTAGTGAATTGGAATAAGGGAGTGCGAATGGCGGTAAGGGCAGCTTGATCTGCTAGTTCATCTCTTTTGATGCCTACGTGCCCAGGAACCCACATGTTATTAATTTTGTTTAAAAAACGTATTCAGTTATTTCTGATAGATAAGAACAGATAAGTTCGCTTTTATTACTAATATTTTTTACAGCTTCAATTATTGATTTACTATCTGCACATATCAGAAATTTGCCTCTGTTGCATGTTGCGTGGTCGATAGCTAGTTTTATAGGCAGAGCCTCTGCAGTATGTATATTATTAAAGCTACAAATATCGACTGCTGACAATTTTATACGAGTATGAAATTAAAAAAAAAGTCTTAAAAATAATAGATTTATATTAAAAATTTGAAATCAGAATTTTCTTTCAATTCTATAATGTTTTTTTGTCGCTCTACACTTCTTCTAAAACAATATATATTCTCATTTCTTCATAGTAGGAACATAGCACCTTTCGCAACCAATACTCCAGAGCAATGCTCCACATTTAATTTGCCAATTTGCAGAGCATGTAAAAGTGAAACTTGACTGACTTAAAATTCATTTATTTACTTTATGCCATAATTTTTACTTGTCCTGGCATCACTTCGTAAAGTTTTCAAGTTATCGTGTACAAAAAGTTTTCCTTTACAAAGAATGATATCGCGAGGATTCAGACGATGCGCTACGTCGCAACACTTGTCTCCACAAGTGAATTTGCGGATGTGTGGTTCCATGGTATTGTGGCTATTGGGATTTCATCGGTGTACGGGTGTGTGAGTGTGGGAGGAATAACATATCTATGTTAGCTCGCATTTCAGCAGGGAAAAGTTTGTTGCTTCTCAACTTAAGTTGCAGTAAAACTTTTTGTCTTTTGTCTACTTACGAAACCATGTGTGATGATATTTTTCAACATATTTTAGCTAGTTATATGGATATCTTCATTTGTTGTGAAATCCCGGGATAGGAGTATGTTCCGCATAAAGTGTACAGATAAAATTTGAAAGTATAATATTAAATTTTATTTAAACTCTACGTAAATAAAAAAAAAATATAAAAAGTGTTATGAGTTTCTTGTAGTGAAGCTACCCATGTTTAATCCTTTATTCCACGAGCGGTAACACTTAAGCTCCACAGAAAGTATAATAAAAACCAGACTGATAAAAGTAAGCAAACTCTGTAACTAATCATTGTGATGGAAATAAACAATGATATGACTTAAAACTTAAAAATCGAGGAAAGGATACTAGAAATTGCATGAAAATATAAAATTTCCAATACAGTTGGAACTCAAGAAAACTTAAATATAAGGCAAGTCTAAATGGATTCAACTCGGACTCAGTTATGGATAACTATTCAAGGAATCTTTTATCGATATGAGTATTTCTTTTGATTTTTCTCAATATTTTGAATAAACAAGAAAACTAGAATAGTTCTCTTAAATTTAAATAAACAGTGAATATTAAAATTTCAAGACATTAAAATAACCTTATTCTCTTAAGCAATTTGAAAAGCTATATACATATGTCTATATCTGCATAATCATCGAATCATGAAGATCAAACAAGAAAAAAATATTTCTTTATTTAAGACAGAAATGTAAATGCAAATGCTGAGAAGCCATTGCAGTGAAAAAAAATTGAATATAAACTGGATGTCTTCACTATGGTTAGGTTCGATTAAACGTATACAATTCACACTAAAATCGTGAGGCCCTGGCAACGCGACCCATATATCACAGCAAGAAAAAG